CTCTGTGTGTCGTATATTATGACAAGTCAGAATGAAGAACCAGAGGAGTTGATGAGGAAGATTGAAAAGGAGGAAGAGCAGCTCTCTTATGAGTACCCTGATAAGAAAATCTACCATCTCTGCATTGTGAATTTGGTGATAGGAACCCTGTATTGTGCCAAAGGAAATTATGACTTTGGTATTTCTCGAGTAATCAAAAGCTTGGAACCTTATAATAAAAAGCTGGGAACGGATACCTGGTATTATGCCAAAAGATGCTTCCTTTCCTTGTTAGAAAACATGTCAAAACACATGATAATGCTTCGTGATAGTGTTATTCAAGAATGTGTCCAGTTTCTGGAACACTGTGAACTGTATGGCAGAAACATACCTGCTGTTATTGAACAACCTCTGGAAGAAGAAAGAATTCATACTGGAAAGAATACAGTGACATATGAGTCCAGACAGTTAAAAGCTTTGATTTATGAGATTGTAGGTTGGAATATGTAATAATGTCTGATAATGATTTTATTGTATTGACTTGGTTATCTTTATAGGGCAATCAGTTTTACTTCTAGCATTCTGCATCTTTATACTTGTTACATATTGAACATTTACAAATTATAATTAACACAATTAAATGCAATCTTTTGAGAAACCTCACAGAATGAATTATAATGTACTTTAGCCCTAGAATGATTTATGAAAAAGATTTCAATACTGAATAGGGAAGTTATAGATAACAATGTGATAATGCATCTGATCCCTCTCCCTGGTTATCTCTTTTGCTTTACGGTATCTTGAAATAATTCTTTGTGGCATGATTATGACACCCAAGGCCTAGGCATTATGAATTCTAGAATGCCGTGTATAGTACACTTTGTCTTTAATAATTAATTCAGGGATTTATACTCTACTCAAACTGCTAATATTAGTTTGTAATGTATGTGTCTGCCACAATTTTAGGATGTTTCAGCAGTTTTCCAATACAGATGTAATGCTTTATCTCGCCAGAATTCCTCATGTTCCAAATTTTTCTTTAGAATGTATGAGATTCAGTGGAAAATCTTGTGCCCTAACATAATTATGATGCTATGGTATGGAGACAATAAAACATTGACAAATTTCCATGGTTTTCTTTTGCTGCACTTTTAAATAAGTTGAATATATTAAAATAAAGATATGGTCTTACTGCTTTCATACTTCATCTTTAGCAGTGATTAATAGTAGAGGTAGTTTTAGAAGTCAATTCTTAATTCCCACACATAGTTGCAAATTAGGACACCTTCATGTGTTCTAATTTCCCCATATAGGATCGTTTTTTCCTATGTTGTAGTTTCATGAAAAAGGAAAAATAGTCTACACTACTTTTATGACCTCATCAAACTTCTATCTTACACCACACGGGAGTGGTCTGTCAATGGATTTTGTAAACTTATCTGGTAGCTTCATAATGCCATATCCACAACCTTCCAGTAGTTTTTTGGAATGAACCCTACTCATTCTCTCAGGCATTTAATTTTCTACATGCTACAAGAGCTTTACTATTTGTTTTTTTCAACCCTTAGGCCCTTTGCTCTTCTTAAACATAATTTTCAATTCCACTCTACCTGGCTTAGGAAAAAATCGGAAGTATTTCATTGAATCATGTGAAATTGCTGGGTTTCAAAGTTTTCAACATACAAAAACAGCAATAGCTTATGATTCAACCAAGTATTTTTCGGCTGAAATGTAGATTCCCGCCATGAGATGACTTTTTTTTTTCTTTTTAGGAAGACACAACTACATAAGAACCCAGATGAAGTATGCCCACCATAATTCCTCATTACCAAGACTTATTTGGGTGCTAAAATTATAACATCTGTCAGAAATTTGTGTTGATTAATGCATAATCTGTCATTAATGGCACTTTTAATACATTATTTGAGCTACTACCACTTAGTTGATAGTGATGATATCATTTGAAGGAAATGCTCACGAATCTGTAAGTATCAGTTCATGTGCTAATATTTAAAGAATTTTCCATTTGCTTAGAAAGTGTAAGAAACATTGCGATATCCAAGGTCATCAAGGTAATTTCAATTCAAGCCTGTTGCTACCACTACAAGTTGACTTCCGGCGCACTTTAAGAAAAATATGGTTCATAGACTTCCGCTTCCGGTTGTCTTGTCGTCGTGGCAACAGTACCTACAACGGACGCAGCGGTAATGGCAGAGGTGAGCGGCGTACAGATCCCAGATGGGGAGTTCACCGCGGTCGTGTACCGGCTCATCCGGGATGCCCGCTACGCCGAGGCGGTGCAGCTGCTGGGCGGGGGGCTGCAACGGAGCCCGAGGAGCCGCGCCGGCCTGTCGCTGCTGGCCTACTGCTACTACCGCCTGCAGGAGTTCGCGCTGGCGGCCGAGTACTATGAGCAGCTGAGCCAGCTGCACCCGGACGTGGAGCAGTACCGCCTGTACCAGGCCCA